TCACTTAGGTACTAGCTTTTTTATGTGTTTTAAGTTATGTGATATTTTTGTGTCCTTGTGTTTATGTTTAGAGAAACTTATTGGATGAAGTCTACTTTTATTATTGGTACTATCTGTATCGTTTTGTTTATTCAGTTGCTTGATTATGGTGTTAGGATTTCTTATTTGAGATGGAGATTTTTGTATTATACATGCATCTTGTATAAAGAAAAGAGTTTTTTAATAAGTAGTTGCTCTGTCATTGCAAATAAATTTAATATTTATTTTAATAATGGTACATTCTTTATTAGAAAAGCACTAATTTTTTTCTTTTTTGGTGGGGGGCTCTTTTTTAGGGAAAGCTACCAACAACAGGAATGACAATCACAAAGCTTGAGGACAGTGAAAATCATAAAAATTCATTTGAAATATCAGGTGACAGGCACAGACTTTTATGAATGCTACCTATCGATGAAAGCTGGATTATCATTTGTTTGCAGATTCTTGCTTAAATAATTCAGAGGGCTTGTGTTTAAGCACTGTTGAATTATAGTCTCAGTGTGTATATATGCAGGTTTTTCATTAATTTTTGTCTCAGCTTATTTTTGTTATCTCTACTAGGGAGCATGATTGAACGGATATTAGTATCATGCAACAACCAACAGGATTTGCATGAATGGGTGGATCATTTACAGAAGCAAACTAAAGTCACATCAATTGGAAACCCCACGATTAAGCCTCATTCTGTGCCATCTCATACTGTAAGGATTCTTACTACTCTAAACAATATAAGGCTTTTGCTGAGCTGCCAGGAAATAATTGTATAGTTTATGACATGATTGGTTTCTGGATTAATAATGCAAAATATTTGCTTCTAATTTCTCTGTGAATAGTTTGTATTCATCTAATAATGAATAGTTGCTCAGTGATCATTATTGTGTAGCAGTTGTAAAATCCTGCCTACTTATTGGTGATGGATAGTAAACTCCTGTGAGTGGATATAAAAGACCAACTTCACAGAGTTTTCCTCTAAATCACTAAAATCCCTCGTCCACAGAATATTTGTCTTATAATTTTAACTTTATTTACTGTATTTCACAAAGCATAACAAAATAAATGGTTACAATGGTTTGCAAAAAGGTCAGGTAGATTCTTGTTGAAGGACTTAAAATGGATTTTTAACTCAATGTTTTGGTTTTAAAAAAGTCTTACCTTAACTTAGCAAAGCTCAGTAGTTCATTGTTTGCTTGGTTTTTTAGTATATTTATAACATTGCCAACTAGAGCATTGCCAAAGTTTAAATGTTTAAAACTCTGTACTGGTGTTTTATGATTAAAATAATTGGTTTAGATCAAGAAACATGAGAAAGAGAATTTCTGTTTCATTCATATTCTCAAAAACAACCGGAAAATGACTTCATTACATTTTATTTCACATAAAACTGCTGTATACCGTGGCATCTCAAAATTTCTTTCCATGTCACTTCCTGGTTTGGAAAGCATTTCCTCAAGACACAATTATTAAATTCCTACTGTATAGAAGCCACTATTTCTCACCTAGTGAACTTCAGAAATGTTCTGCATTCACCCTAAGGAATCCCTCCTCTGAGGGGATTGTGTATTCTCCGTGTGATCTGACTGTATCCAACTTGTTAGACCAGATAGACTAAAGAAACAAATCCAGAGACATTCATGTGTGTGTAGGAGAGAGGTTTATATCAAAGAGCAATTATTTATTGAGAAAGCATCCCGGCCTAGTCCAGATCAAGTCGTTAAGTCTTATATTAACCCATATGTCCGATACTAGTCTATAAATTCCTCTCAGCACATGCAATGATGCCAAACGCAGGAAGATCACTGGCCAGTGGATGCAAAGTCTTGTGGATCCAATGGCGATGGAAGTATCTCCTTGCAGTTCCTCCAACTTATGAGTATGTCTCTTTAGCAGGAAGGTGAAGCAGAGTGAGAGAGGAAGTTCCCAGAAACCTCATGAGAAGGTCACGCCCACATGGAGGCTTCATCCGGCTGTGACCTGATTGACAGGCTAGACTCCACCCCATTCACTCTTACTATCCGCAAGTTGGCACGAGATTAACTACCACATACTCTAAGATAAACCATAGCCCTTTTTGCCTTTTCAAGTAAGGAACAGTAGAATTAAACGTTACTCACTATGACTTTATTGCTAAAAGGAATGTGTTGCATAATTTTGTCTCTCTGTGAATTAGTTCATTAAAAAAGTTGCCTTGGCATAGTAGTCTGTAGCATGTTAGCCACCTCACGCTCTGGCCACCGTCCTTCCACCAAGGACCAGCTGCCATTTTTGTGGCTCTCGTAGACCGTGCAACACTCATGTTCCTGACTATCATGGCACCTATCCTTGATAGTAGGTGTGTTTTAAGATACACCTTCTCACTTTACTAACTATCCAGCTCATTCTTCTATTAAGTATGCCACACTATTACTGGCTAATTTAAGAGCATTGGCTAATTTTGATTATTACTTTTTTAATCTACCATTTCCTCCCTTACGTGATGGAGTATTTTGGGGATTTCCAGGAATATAAATGCTACTAATCAACATATTCTTTTGAGAAAGTAGGTTTTGAATAACTTTGTTTTGATTAAAGCAGGTATTTAAAAGAAGTTGACAACTTTTTTTTTCTGCAAAGGAGCAAATAGTAAATATTTTCAGCTTTCTGGACCACAGGTCTCTGTTGAAACTAGTTCAACTGCTGCTGTAACCCATCAGCAGCCGACAGTACTAAGGCTATGTGCCAGTAAAATTTTCCCAGTAAACAGTGGGCACCCTGTCGTTTTACTGACCCTAAATCAACAGCCAGTAAACAATGTACTTGAGAGAAGGACAGATGACCTTGACATCACCCTATGCCTACATGCCTCATCACAGAGAATGTCAGTTCTCTCATATACAGATTTCTCTGATGAAAGATCTTTTTTTTCAGGCAGCCACCCATGACAAGCAAAGAGGTGGCTTGTAGCGTACTCGGTCTTCACTGATAGATGCGAGGTCCTGAGCAAAGTAGTGCCACACCTGACTGTGTTTGACCCAGAACTTGATGGTTTGGAGCCAGAGATTCAGAAGCAAATGATAAAGATTTGAGTCATTGGAAGTATTAAAATGAAATTGACGTGCATGTACTTGATTAGGATTTATTTTACTGTAAATGTGTTCGGGTCTTACGTGTTGCCTACTCTCCTTTTCAAAATCTGTTTACTTCCCAGCTTCCTTCCCATCCAATCACACCATCCAGCAAACATTCGGACAGCAAGCCAATGCCACTGACTCCTGCATATCACACGCTCCCACACCCTTCACATCATGGGACTCCACACACCACCATTAACTGGGGGCCTTTGGAGCCTCCGAAGACCCCCAAACCTTGGAGCCTGAGCTGTCTGCGCCCTGCACCTCCTCTCCGGCCTTCTGCTGCTCTTTGTTACAAAGAGGTGAGGTCCTTTGGCTGTGCTAGTGACTGCTTTCAGAGGTGCAGCAGAGCAAAAGTCAGTCTGTACTCCACTCTGTTCTCCGCCCCACTCCTCCGAATTTACAGTTATCGACAGTCCCGTATTTCTCGCTATGACATAAGAAGCACCAATTAGTTTCTTCAGTACTAGGAGACTGGCCTTGGAGGCCCAGAGTAGATCTGTGAAGAGAAAGGGTGGTTAGCTCCGGATCCTTTCTGGGCCCTTGCATGGAGTGGAAGCTTGTACTTATCCAACAAATGCCGCTTCCTTGTTGCTTCCTTAAATCCGGCCAATTTGAGGAGCAAAAACCTAGAAAATAGTTGACATGGGTTCTTCTTTGGAGCCTCCGATTCGTTTGAGCTTCTAGTTGGTGAGGGGTGTCAGTGTACCTGTATGCTCCTCTGTTGTCCCTCATCGCCCTTTCAGCAGTTGACGCTGCTGTCCACATTCTGTCACCAGAAGCTCGTTGAGATGAAGAGAAATAAAAAGGAAAATAATTAAGGCAGCTCCCTCTGTGTTGTGTCAGAAATTATAAAACATTCTTTTTACCCCTCTTCTTTCTAATTCAACATTTATTAAAAATAAAGTCCTCATTTATTAATATGAGAGGGCTTTAAAAGGTTCATGGAGAAATGGAATTAAAGATAAGAATGGATTTTTTTCATGAACTTGTTTTGAAGTCTCATATGTATTAACCATCTCAAGCACTTTTACCTAAACCTGTTTCAACAAGGAAAGGGATAATCTTACGGAAAGTATTCTGAGAAAGACCCCTGTCTTTATTGAGTAGCTTTATTGAGGAACCTTAAGCACTGATAACATGGGATCAAGTCTTGATGTCGTGTTACTGGTCATATTTGCCAAGGGAACCAGTGCATACCCTCCGTACTTGCTAGAAGCCCCTAAGCATTTTAAGATAAACAGAAAAGTCTTACACAGTCTTTTTATATCTTTTTATTTTTCATGAATTTTGATTTTTATGACACCTCTTCCTGGTGGTCGTGTACCCATGTCAGGAATTTTTGGTAATGGGAAGTTACTGTAAAGTTATTTATCAAATAGTTTAGTGCTCATAATCCCGAAGAAAAGTGAGATAATAGAGAGGAGATTTGTGGCAATTCAGTTACCTGGACAGGAAATTGGAATAAAACTGTTAGGCTTGTACCAAGGAAGTGTGATTAAAATGAATTTTAAAACAAAGCTAAACAATAGCAGCAAGAAATAGCAAAGAAATAAATAGGTATTTAGGTAAACATAAGTTTTGAGTTTGTATAAAGCTGGCTGCATTTGTCTTGCTAGACTTTATGTTGGAGAAACATTTCATAGATAGGATTGTCCAGTGTAGAAGTAATTTTATACAGCATGGTGAAAGAAATGGCAGTGCATGGAGAGCGAGCATGGAGCCTACCTTCCATAGTTGCAGGTAGTCAGGTATAAGGTGTGTGTGTGTGGACTCACGTGTCTCGGTGTATTTGTAGGCTTTCCAGCAACACAACACAAATTGTATGTTTGAGGGAGCATCCAAAGTTTCATTGTTATCTTTTAATTCCCCCTTCCATGAACTTTTAAAAGCCCCCGTGTGTGACTACTTGATTTCTGCTGCATTTCTAAGTGCCTTTTCTTTTTAAATTCATAAAGAAAAAAATACTAGGTGCCAACTGTAAAAGTCAGGCTGTATGCACTCTTAGCACATCTCACCTTCTAATCTGAATTTCACATTTTCAGATTAATTAATAGTTTTTGTAATGTAAATGGTGTAAAAGGTCGTCTTTTTCCGCAATGATACTTCATTTATGCCTGAAAATGGAAATGCCTCACCTACACCATTGGACTTGGTTCTGCTCATTCAGGATTTCTCTTCTTAACTGCACTTTGCCTACAAGTTCTGTGTTAGACAAAAGCAAGGGCCCAACCATTGCCTTGAAAGCGGACTCGGCTGCTGTGACTGCACACAGGACAGCCAGTGCCCACAGTCCAGCGCTCTCGCCTCTGCTCTCAGGGCCGAGTAATCCCTCTGTCCTTCTGACTGGCTTAACGAAATCATTGTGTACTTCCCTTTCCTTTAAAAATAGCCTCACGGTCCTCATCTGTTTCTAATTAGATGTGTCCGATGAGTCTGCTCCTCCGAAAGTCACAGCCCCACCAGCACCTATCTTGGGAGTGTGTCTGGTTATCTTTGTCCACATGTTGCGCCATCTGTCAGTGTTCTCCTCCCTCCAAGCTCTGCCAGCCTCTGCCAGCCTGAAGCAGCTTTGCTCAGTGTTGTTACAACACTGAAGGGATCGAAGTACTACAAGGAAGCCTGTCTTTTATCAGTCAACAAGAAATATTAGCCAATGACTAAAGCCAAAAATGGCTTAGCATTTCTCATTGGTAAAGAAAACTCAAATTATAATGAGAAAAGTAGGAAGCTCGTGGCTGTATTGCTTTAGCATTTTCCACCTTAGGAGTAGCCCTCATTTATATACAAATAAGATTAATGACTTTGAGATCAATTTTTTCCCACTTTTTAATTTCCCTAGGATCTTAGTAAGAGTCCCAAGACCATGAAAAAACTACTACCTAAGCGCAAACCTGAACGGAAACCTTCTGATGAAGAGTTTGCATTGAGGAAAAGTAAGTACATGGGAACGAAGAAACAGGTCTCTTTTTCACAGAGATGTGCTATATCTCATTAGAACGGAGAAGTGATTGATAGCTTTTCAACGAATTCAAAGCGAAGTCAAGGGTATGAACTTGATACGACTTGTAAAAAGGTAAGCCCGTAGGAAATTTGGGAATCGTTGGAGCTTGTGCTTTTGACAGCCATGTTGGCCTTTGTACACAGAAAGGAAGATCTGAGTGTTAGCGATGAAGCACGTGCATAAATTTTCCTGCAAGAACACAGTTTTCAATCTTAAAGAGCGTATTGATCCCATCACATTTTAGCGCCTGGATGGAGCACACTTGAATTATCTTTCATTTGTGAAGCCAGGTGTCCAGTGTAGACTTGGAGATTTCTCCTGCTCTTTCTCTCTGCCTTTTTGCCCATAGAAATTCTGTACACTCTTTCTCAAGTGCCATAATTACCTGAAACTTCCTCAAAATTCACTAATTGAATGTGGCCTGTTATTTTTTCAGATCTTAGCGTTGTACTCCACCCACATGATTATATTGCTGTCTTTTTTCTATTATAACATTTGTATGCTTGTGTGATTTCCACTACTCATAGAAGCTTTTTATAAACCAGAGGCAGAATCTTAATCAGCTCCACACTTTTCATTCAGCTTCTGACAGGAAGCATCTTCCATACATTGTCAGAGCTTAGCTAATAGCTGTTGGATGAGTTGAGTAATTTTTAGAAGCAAATTATTAGCGACACTCCCTGTTCCTCCCGGCCTCTACTTCTTCCCAGGCTCCATATCTTTCCTGGTGGATAGGAATGAATACTAGACACTCTCTAGCAGATCTCTACGGGACTGTTCAGCTGTATGTGAGACTGCTGGAGATGGGTGGTGGAGCCAGCCCTAGACAGGTTGTGGAGGTGGTTGTTCATCCAGGCCTTTATCTACCTATCTTACCATTTTTTCAGGCTGCTTTGTTCCTGAAACTCCTCATTCCTCAGCTCCCACCAATCTTAGAATTTTAGGGGTTAGTGAATCTGATCAATTCAAAATAGAAATCACTATAACTTGCTGCAGACATTGCTTCACTGTTTTACTTTATCCAAAGACAAGCTCAGGGAGAGAGTTAGTCAGTGTCTGGATAGCACACCGAGGAAGGGAGGCAGTCTGGGCGGGGGAAGAGGAAATGGTCTCCAGAGCCTGAAGGGCCTGGACATGAAGCCGAGCTCAGCCCCTCCTGAGATGTGGGTTAGTTACTTAGCTCTGAACTCGAGTTTTTCATCTTAGTGTGGTAGCTGATAATAAATTGGAAGAATTAAATAAAATAATGGAACTAGAAACTTCTCAATAAGCGTTTACGCTCTTTTCATCTGATTTGTGCACAGTAAACACTGTAGCTTAGATTGCTGTCCTGCCTCTCCCCTCTCCCCCCATGTAAGATGCTATAAGCATGTGAGATGCTAAGGTTACTGAGCAACACACCTGTACCACACTCACAGAACACTGTAATGGAGCCATCGATGAGTAAGCAAATTATAGGGAAAAGAGCCAGATTTTTGAACCACAAAGATCTAGAATTGAATGCTTGCTTCTCCATTTCTAGATGTGCCGTCACTTATCTATAAAAGGGGACAAATAAAAACTTTCAGGGTTATTTTGTCAAGAAATTTATTAAGTACCTTCCATGTGAAAAGACACGGTTCGGGGCATTCAGGATATGCCTACGTGTAACCTAGTCATTTATTTGACAGGTATGAATTCAGTACCTTCTGTGTGCCAGATGGGGTCAAAGGGCTTCAAAAATTCATGGATATAGCATCAGAGCCCTGACACCAGAAGAGCTAGACGGTGCCTGGCTACTACTGTGAGCTGCATCCTCAAAATCACACAAAAGACCAGGCTTACTGATCAGACAGAGACTGGTAGAACCCTCAGGGCTGGCCCTTCACTAGCCTACATGGCCCCATTTTCACGCAAACAACAGACAGATACTGTTTTTCACTTGGTGGTCGGGTGGGGGTGGGGCATGAACACTAGGAGGAAAGTATGAGCACTTTCAAATAATAAACTATTTCAGATCTGGAGGGCAGCATTTATCAGAGAATGAAATTCAGAGGATCAGGAAATATGGAGGGATGGAAACAGGAAACACGGGGAGTAAGTGGGACAAGTGTAGCTACGTGGAGGGAATTGTAATCAATGAGATGAGTCGAGGTGTATATGAATTGTTGAATGGAAAACTGATCTGCTTTGTGAATCTTCACCCCGTTCACAGTGAAAAGACTAAAAGTTTATGGAAAGATGGGGTTAAAAGATAATGGGAAAATTCCCCAAACTGTTTGAGGCCCGCTCATGCAATAAAAAAAATTCCCTGTGCTGTTAATTTTATAGAAAGGTAAATGTGGGGATGTGGGTGGGGAGCAGGGAGGGAACAAAGTAAAGATAATGTATATCAGTGTTAAATACTGCAGAGAAAAATCAATTGGGGGTGGTGTAAAAGAGTAAGGACAACTTTCAGGTGGGTGATCATTAAAGGTATCACTGAAACGATAGCCTTTGAATAGACGTTAAAGGAGTTCTGCTCTCTCCTAATGGATCCCCCTGTGGCATAATTGACTCAATGGCAGACAGTTTCAGGGGTGTCTTGTCTGGACAATGGTGCCAATATTGTAGGTGGCACAAACGCAAAGAGATTTCAGATGTTCTTTGAAGATCTGAGCCTCCAGCAGTGATTATAAATTGAGGTGTTTTTGTCCCCCAGGGGACGTGGAGCAATGCCTGGGTATTTTTATTGTCACAGCTGCATGGGTGCATGGAGGCCAGAGTGCTGCTATCTGACAGTGAACAGAGTGGTCTCCCTCAGTCAAGAATTATCCAACTCAAAACATGAATTGTACTGAGAGAGCCCTGGCCTCTGGACTTGTGCTGCTACGAAGAAGAGTTACCTGCACAGAGATGCCTGGGGGAGGGAGGCTGGTAGGGAAGAGTGTTCTGGGAGACAAGTTGCTCACTGAGCTTGAGATTCTTACTAGACATCCAGGAGGAAATGCCAAGTAGATGATCCAATATATGATCCTGCAGTCTGTGGAAATGTCTTGATTGGTGATAAAAATGTCAGAGTTGTAGTCATTACTTAGATAGTATTTTAACATAAGGGATTGAAATCATGATTGAAGATAAAGAATTCACAGTCTGAGTTTTAAGGTACTTCAATTTTTTTAAATCAATTTTTGGGGGGCTCATACATCTCATCACAATCCATACATCCATCCATTGGGTTAAGCACATTTGTACATTTGCTGCCATCATCATTTTCAAAACATTTTCTTTCTACTTGAGCCCGTGGTATCAGCTCCTCATTTTTTCCACTCCCTCCCTGCTCTCCCTTCCCTCATGAACCCTCAATAATTTATAAATTATTATTATTTTATCATATCTTACATTGTCTGACATCTCCCTTCACCCACTTTTCTGTTGTCCATCCCCCAGGGAGGAGGTGATATGTAGATCCTTGT